AACTAAATAAAAATAAAAAGTAAAAGTAAAGGTAACGAAAAACGAAAAGTAGGTACGTACGTTACGTTACGTAACGTAAACGTAACTACGAGTCCGTCCTCCTCCCTCCTCTCTCTCTCTCTCTCTCTCTCTCTCTCTAAACTTTTGATTTCAAAATTGTTGCCGCAAAAATTTAAAGAATCCTCATGATTCTTCAAAAATTGCCACAAGGGACTACGGATCACGTATTGCTTGCCGAGTTATTTGGTGTGAGTTAGGTGATGCCTGCAACTGTGGGTGGATTGTTAGCATGTTGAAGTGATGATATCCTTTGGAGTAGTGAGTCAAAGCTAGATACTAATCATAAAGCTAGACAAATCAAATTGACTTATTTTGCATTGTTTTATAAATAGAAAAAGAATATCCAAATCCCACAATTGTTTTGAAGGAGTTGGTAGACTAGAAACTTAAATATTTTCCTTTTTTCCTTTTCTAATGAAAAATCAAAACAGAAAAGCAGCAGACTCGTAATTTGACACAGTTTGCTGAGTCTTGATCCAAATTCAAATTCTTTCACTCTGATCAAGACAAATACGAGAGAATACGAAATGGTTCTCATTTGGCTATTACGGCTCCCATATACAAACTTCAAAATACAGGTAAGAAAGCTAAAATATCGTTAGTTCCTTACCGACATGAGAATGTAAAGAATCATGAAAGTAAGTTATGTAACACCTATGTGATACAAATGCAACTTACAATAACGACCAGATTTTATGTACACAAACGCAGATGGAACATACAATAAATTTATGATTTAATTAAAACAAGAACTACATTTGTTTGTGTATTTTACAATTTGAATAAATTTGTCGGTCATTCATAGCCAATTAGATTGTGAATCTAATTCACGCAAAAAGTCTAGATTATGACCATTTCCCAAGAGAAGACCACCATATACTTGCAAACTCACCATGGTATTTGCCCCTTCTTCCCATATAAGACCACCATAAGCAATGCTTCTAATTCTTCCTCCTGCTGTTCCCTCCGATTCATACAGAGTGACATTCAAACCATGTGATTTCAGCCTATATGCTGTGGTAAGCCCACTGAAAATCAATACAGAGAATTTCGAATCATAACATGCAGGAGCACACATGTACGCAAAGAAAGTCAATCTTAAAGAAAGAAAACAGAAGTTTTGGATGTCATGCATACCTAAGAGACTGAATCTACTAGTCACATCAATCAATTTGATGAGACCAGATGTACAGAACTTATAAAATTGACCAATTAAGCATCAGCAATAAGCGAAAGTATTTTCAAGCTAGTTATTGTGCTTATATCAGAGGCCTTACAATATCTGAGTGGAGAAACATTAATCCCTATGTAATTACGACCCATAATTCAGGGGTCAGCATTGAACCCATATCTCTTTGTTTTGGTTATGGATGAGGTAAATAGGCATCTATAGGAGGAGGTATCGTGGTTTATGTTGTTCGCAAATGACATAGTTTTGATTGATGAGACTAGAGGCGGCGTCAACACAAAGTTAGAACTTTAGAGGGATTCTATAGAACCTAAAGGTTTTAAAATTAGCCGGACTAAGATAGAATGTGTGGAATACAAGATTAATAATAATCAGAATAAAAACGAGGAAGTCATTAAAATTGATGGCCAAGAAATACAGAAAAGAGATTATTTTCGAAATCTTGGATCGATAATCCAAAAGAATGGAGGGATTGAGGAACATGTTGCACATAGAACTAGAGTTGAGTGGGGTAAAGTGAAGAGGTGCATCAAGAGTTTTATGTGATCTCAACATACCAATGAGACAGAAGGGGAAGTTCTATTTGATGGCTGTAAGATTAACCATGCTTTATGGGATATAATGTTGGGCAGTCAAAAAACAACATATCCCCTAGAATGAGTGTAGTTGAGATGAGGATGTTGAGATGAATGAGTGGCAAAACAAGAAATGATAGAATTTAGATTAATACATCCGAGGGAACTTAATGGTGGCTCCAATAGACAATAAGATGGGGAAAAGTAGGCTTAGATGGGCTGCAATGTGCAATATAGACCTAATACAGTGCCGATTAGGAGGCCCAATTGTGTTCAAATAGAAGGCTCCAAAAGGGCAAGAGGAATACTCAAAAGGACATGGATGAAAGTAGTGAACGTAAATTCAGCCGTCTCGCCGCCTAGGCGGTATGCTCTAAGGGGGCCCATCAAGGCACCCACCTAGGCACTCAACACACCCTTCTAGGCAGCGTGAAAGGCGGGTGCCTAGGCACCACCTCGACCCACGGCAGAAAATGGCACTCGACCATTCGGCAAAAATGTCTTTTTACCCCAAAAAAAGGGGAAAAAGGGGCTTTGTGGGGAAAGAACATTTTAGTGAAGTTTAGAGTGAGAAAAACCTTGAAAAACACAAGATTTGAAGATTTATAGAGAAATCGAAATTTATTTCAACCACCTCGAATGGTCACGAAATTAAAGGTTATTCATCCCCAATCTGTTTTAGGCTTATAGTTGTTCTAAAAGAGGAGATTTGGGAACCAAAACATTTCGGTTTGGCCCGATATCGATCCACTTGAAGAAGGTTGGCATATTTCAATAGTTTTGATTAGGTTATATAGGTTTTTTTTTTCACAATGTCTTATGATGTTACTCTTTGCTATTTGTATTTTTTTTTGTCATAATTTATGATATCCATTTGATATGTTATTGAGTATTTGGATTATTATTTTCCCATTTTGATATTTAGTTTGGGTCTTTGGGAAAGCAATTCAATGGAAAAAGCCCATTGCTTCCAAATCGAATGAATATTGTTTTTTTTTGTTTACTTTTATACATGAGTTTACTTGTATAATTTCATATACCATAATTTTTATCCCCATAATATTTTTTATTAGTTAGTTTAACAATTGCTTGTTAAATAATTGCATGCATAAAATGTTTTTTCGATTTTGTGTTATTTCATTGCAATTTTAATATGTATGTTTTACCTAGATTTATTTTTTGGCTTGATCATGCTTGCTTTACTTCGTCCTTGGATTGTTAAGAACTCAAGATATTAAAGGGTCAATGTAACAATTATTTCTACTTCATTTCCTATTTGTAATTTTTTAGATGACCTTTTTTATTTTATTTTGGATGACTAATTTGAAGTTTCAAGTATTTAGACTAGTGATTGTAAATTAATCTTGCTTTTGTGCATGTATTTATAATTTTCACTTCTTGTAAATATTTTCATGTTTGACTTTGTTGTTTCTGTGTAATTTTCAGGCTTAGGTTAGGATGATACTTGATAGATAAGGGTTGTAGGTGAAATGTCTTCCTCAGCTTCAAGTAAACAAAGTGGTCCGGGTTCGAAATATGGACATTGTTCCAACCCTAGTGACAAGAATAAAGTAGCATGCAAGTTTTGCAAAAAGGTGTACAATGCTAGCATTAATGGATTGAAAAAAAGTATTTAGCTGGTGCATAGTTGTTGGAAACGCCTAAGAACCCGTATCGTTTCAAAAACCGGAATCGTGGAATCGCGCCGGGCTAGAAGTTTCCCATTGTAGGAATCGTCGTCCGTACAATAGGAATCGCTGGGAACGAGATTCTTAATTTTCAAGAATCGAGTACGATCGGAATAGGTCCAAGTATCATCCACATATGGAATCGAGATTCTGGCCTCCATGGAATCGAGGTTCCCATCCCCTTGGGTTCGACACTCCAAGTGTCAAGTTTCATTATTATGTAAAAGCGAGTTTCCGTCATCTATCGAATCGAGTTTCCGACATATGCGGAATCGAGTTTCCACCATATATGGAATAGTGCTTCCGACCTATGCGGATTCGAGTTTCCATCATTTATGAAATCGTGATTCTAACATATTTGGAATCAAGTTTCCATCATCTATGGAATCGTGTTTCAAACATATTTGGTATCAAGTTTCTGAAGTATATGGATCAGAGATCCATGCTGGTTTGAGATCGAGAATTACAATAGTGGAATCGAGTTTCCGACATCACCTAATTCGAGTTTGCAACATATGTGGTACATAAATATGTTGCTGTGTAGAATCGTGATTCTAACAAATTTGGAATCAAGTTTCTGAAGTATTGAAGGGGTGAGTTGGTCAGGCGTCACTGGGTAGACTTTTTAGACATTAGGAGTACAGCAATACCGTTTAGGAAGTGTCAGGTATCATTGTGTAGATTGTTTAGACATTAGAGGAGTTTGGGTTTACTCAAGCTCAAGCCATGACAGTGTGTGGTATAGGGCCTATAGGCAGTGTCGTAGCTACAATGCTGCATGTTGTGCATGAAGGAAAGATGGTGGCATCGACATGTGTTAGTGTATCATCTGAGGGAGAATGTGGTTGGCAAAACCAGTACTGGAACACCAACTCGCCCCTTCAAGAGAATGAACTATCAAATTTAAATATTTAGAGTTTTAAAGTGCTACTACTAACTACTAAACATGACGATGATGTCTTTTGTAGGTAACAAAGGCGGTTATAACTTAATAACTATCAGAGCATTTGAAGATTAGATTTTTGGGAATAGATTTTTGGAACTGCGTAAAAATAACATTACTAATAACCATTTTGCAATCAGTAGTAAAGCACTAAGCAATGTTGCAAGACGAGACGTGGTGCAAGTCACTCGAGCAATTCACATAACTATGAACAAGTAAAAAAACTATAGCAGTTTACATCAACACAAATATAAGAAACATAATAAAGATAACTAAAAAACAACACAACCTCATTAAATTCCTTCTAAAATACATGCTTTATAAATAATAATACCCCCTTCTAGTACACATGCCACCTAATGCTATCGTTTGGGACCTTAAAACATGATATCCACTAGAAAATAAAGCATTACTTTTGTGGTTATTATTTACAAGGAACCAATGTTTTATACGATGTAGATGATTCTAAACCCTGACGAAACGAGCTCCATTACGTGTAGAATCATGTATCATTTAACATGGAATCAAGATTTAAACCTCGCTGGAAGCGAGATTCAATCTATTTGGGAGCGTCTACCCACAATTAGGGGGTTCAAATTTCTCTAGATATGTTGGATCGAGATTCCGAAATTTAGGAACCGAGATTCCGAAACTAAGGAATCGAGTATCCTTGGTTCTGAAAAATGTTTTTAAAAGAAGTGTTGAACCGAGATTCCGAAATTAAGGAAACAAGTTTCCTTGGTTCCGAAAATAGGTTTCCAAATATGTGAGGAATCGAGATACCGAAATTAAGGAACCGAGTTTCCTATGTTGCAAAAAAAGGTTCCCACCTAGGTACGGAATCGAGATTCCGAAATGAAGCAATCGAGTTTCTGAGGTTTCAAAAAAAAGGTTCGCAGGGTCCGAAGAGAGATTCTAGTAACTATGAGCGGGTGTAAGAGGGGATGTAGCACCATGTACCCAAGTCCTTACAGACGTCAGGATAGAGATGCTAGATCACTTGGAAGGGAACCAAAAGAAGAAAGAATAGGTCAAGAAGGGATATCAAGACATCAGGACCTCTGTAAACATCCTTGGAATAGATGAGGAAGATGAAGAGGAAGAAGCCTCCATAAGTAGACCAAGTACCATTGAGCATAAGAGACCTCGAAGAACAGAGCCTCTTGATACATTCTTCCCTCCTCCCAATCCCGACGTGGTGGTTTGCGAAAAGGAACCGGCACAAAGTACTCTAGAGAGTCATTTGAAGAAGCAAGATAGAGAAAGGGTGAATCAGTATGTGGTTCGATGGTACTTTCAAGCGGGTCTCCCATTTAATACTGCCAATTTAAGGAGTTTTCATGCTATGTTAGAGGTAGTGGGGCAATTTGGCCAGGATATAGGCCCCCTACATCTTATGAGCTAAGGGGCCTTTATTGAGGTAAGAGGTAGAATTAACAAATGACTACTTAAAGACCCACAAGGATTCTTAGGGCAGATGTCAGGTGACTAACATGACATATTGGTGGACTGACAGGAGGTCTAGTAGTATCAGAAACTTATTAGTTAATTGCCATAAGAACTGTTTTTTTGAAGTCTATTGATGCCGCCTTCATATATAATGTTGTGGATCAGTGCATTGCAAAGGTGGGGGCGCACATGTTGTGCAGTTATCACAGATTTGGCTAAGTCGAATATGGCAACTGCTAGATTACTGGAGGTTTCGAGCCTTGCACGGCTCACTGTATAGGTCTCATGCTTGCGAAAATTAGAACAAAGAAAGTGGTGCATGAGACGATAGAAAAAGAGCTATAATAGTTTTCATTTATAGCCAACTACACTCATGTTTTGGCAATGATGTGGAAGCTTACAGATGGGATTGACTTGGCCAGGCTAGGCGTCACCAGGTTTACCTTTGGATTCTTTGAATAAGCAAAGGGACAAGCTTCGAACCATGTTTGTATCTGAAGCATCGAAGGGGTGCAAGTGGTCTATGGAGGTTAAGGGGAAAAAGATCGATGACATTATTATGTAACCAAGTTTGTAGTGGGATTCAGTTTTTCTTTGATATTTTTGAGCCACTTGTGAAAGTGCTTCGCCTTGTTGATAGTGAAAAGGAACCAGCAATGGGACATATTTTCAAAACAATAGAGGTTACAAGAGAAGAAATCAAGCAGCACTTGAAGCAAGATGAAAAACAATAAGGCCCCATCTTGAAAATTGTAGATGATAAGTGGGATACGCAGCTAAAGAGACCCCTACACCTAGCATGGTATTTTCTCAACCCTGCATATTTCTAATTTGATCCTGAGATAGAGAGAACAGATTCCATCATGGTAGCATTTAACAATTGTGAGTCTCCACCCTGACTCAAATGTTCAAGACAAAGTGTCTATGGAACTTGACTTATATCATTACTCTACGGTGACACTTGGGACGGACATCGCAATAAGGAAAATGACAAAGATAAATCCATGTAAGTTGAAGATGTATTTGTCATTTAAATTTTACTTGACTCCACTTTTTTAAATTCTAAATTTACATAGATATATATATTCTACTTATTTTTATTTTAAAATGTATTATAGCCTTTTGGTGGGCCAACCATGGACAAACTGCCCCCAACTTTCAAAGGATGCCGCAACGGATTTTGAACTTAACTTGTACATCGTCTAGCTAAGAGCGCAACTTCAACACATTCGAGATGGTTAGTATTCTATTTACCCTTACTTCTATCAATTTACGAGAACAACTTTATCAATACTTTTTTTTAACTAAAGAATTGGAATAGAGCAACGGTAAACTATGAAACAAGTGCATACAGAGAAGAGAAATAGACTCGAGCAGAAGAGACTAAACGACCTTGTTTAGAGAGAGAGAGGCATGCTGCTGAAGGCGTTCAGTACAATCAAAGGCTGAAGGAGAGCCATCTAGAGCGATTTCAAATTGAAGACCCCATAATTGAGAAAGATTTAGATCCAACAAGCAAATGGTTGGTCGAGCAAGATGATGGGGATGAGCCTATATTCGAGGGAGAGAGCTTGACATAAACCCAAGTGCAAGAGGCGGCTGGTTTGGCATCAAGCCCTATGAGAGCTACTAGATCCCAAACACAGAGAAAGGGGAAGGAAATGGTCCAAAAAAAGGGAAAAAAGGAAAGGGGAAGGGGAAGGAGAAGGTGCAGATAAAGAGGAGGAGGACGATCTTGGAGACCTGATAGCAAGGGATTTTTCTGGGGGTCAGTAAAGGCAAGTATGACCCCAAAAATATATTTCTTTTATGGTGTACAAATTCACGTCTTGACTATAATAAACATTGAGAAAGGAAAAGACAGACATGGGCACATCAATTGCTTCAATCAAGTCACCCTGTCCTCGAAAGTGAAGACACTTGTAACCACAGTAAATAAAGGAGCTTCTTATGAAAAAAGCCTTAATAAGAATTCTCTTTTAAGATATGAGACCTCATGAGATTTTGTTTTGGACTTTGGCCATCCCACTTGAGGGGGTAAGTAGACTGATTTGCCCCTCTTTTAATAACATAATCTTAAAGCTTCTCATCAATCTTTTTTTTCCCCATGGTTTCTTCCCTCCTCTCACATCCTCTATTTGAAAACCCAACAGATTCTTCTCTCCTCTCAAATTCTTTCACATTCTCTCTCCAAAGAATGTGAGAGGAAGTAGGAATGGGGTGGGGGTGTCTAGAGAGAGAATGTGAGTGGAGGCTAAAATCAGATTGGTGTCTAGAGAGAGAATATGAGAGGAGGCAAGAAAGGGGTGGGGTTTCTAGAGAAAACTTACGTGAGTAGAAGGAAAAATGAGATTGGTTTCTAGAGAAAGAATATGAGAAGTGGCAAGAATTGGGTTGGTTTTCTAGCGAGAGAATGTGGTAGTGGAGAAGAACATATTAGGTATACAAAGGAGAGAGTAGGAGAAGAAGGTATAATGAGTTGGGTTTTTATAAAGAGAATGTAAGAGAGGGAAGGGCTTAAAAATTGAGTTTTTAGAGGGATAGACAAAGGGGAGGGAAGAAACCATGGGAAAAAGATGTGCAAGATGAGAAAAAATGAGGGCCAAGGATTTTTTGTTAAAAGGGAACAAAATGGTCCATTTGCCCCTCTAAACAGCAAGGGAGCTAAAGTCAAAAAAATTGTCAATAAGCCCAATGTTTTAAAAATATAATCTAGTAAGGCCTTTTTCTTAGAAAGCCCTTAATAATATGATAAGTTAGAATGATCGATACAGAATTACGCTAATTATAGTTATAACGACATACCTGACACCTCCACCCACAACTGCAACTGATTTTGTGGAACCTGCAAGGAAATTTCTCTGTGATATTCCTATTGGTGTTTGATGCTCACATTGGCTTGAAGAATAAAAACTAGAATATACAAATGTTCCAGAACAGCTACAATAAATTTAGCAAGAATAAATATTATTGGAACAAGAATTCTGACGACTTTATGCCATTTCAAAATGTATCTTATGAAACTGTTTTATATCAACTGAACAGTGATACAGACATCTTCGACTGAGGCAACAAATTTCATGCAAGGAAAAAGACCACATGAAAAGTAAGTATATTTGAATTTTTCAAGAGGATCAAATTGGAGTGGCATAAGGTCCCATAAATGCACACTAAGTGAACAACCATGTGATGTAGAACAAAGAGGAAAAAGAGAGAAATAGATCACAACCTAGTGCAAACTGAGGATTTTAGCTGTGACTCAAAGACAATGGGCTGGAGCTAACAAAGCGCTTCAATGGCTTGAATGAGGGTCCAAGAACCACCCCAAAATGGGAACCACGTTCTTGATTTCTGAAATTAAAGTATAAACATTAAATTCCAGCAAGGTAAAATTCTTCCTCTTTTAATAGACTTGGCATGGCTCCCAGGCCAAAGTTCTCTTAACTTTTTTAGGAACATTAGTGGACAATACCCCTTTCCAAGCCATGCACAAGACCTCTTCCCAAGCAAATTATTTCCCCTTCCCAAGCCCAGCACAATAACTCTTCCGAACCAAATTTCAAACTCAAATTCTAACATCTCCCTACTGAATTTCCCCATGCACAAAGTGTAAATTAAAACACCCTAGCATTTCTGTATATTCCAGAAATGCCTGTTATAGGGAAAAATACTCAAAATACCAATGCCTTACCAAGAAATTAAAAGAGAAATCACAGTCCACAAAATATTAACTAAACTTTCTTTTATTTTCTGCATCAATCTACCCCAGTCAAAGGGAACTCATCCTCGAGTTCAAATCGACATTGAAGTCCTCAAGGTCTTCAGTTACAATCTTTATTAGTTCTTCTTTAGAAACCACGAACTCTTGGCATCAGCTTGCCCTTTCACCATATCAAATACTAGTTGGAATTTCTGCTGTGGGTAAAGATGATTCGGCAGACCAAAATCCTCTTTACCTTGCCTTCCATTTGGGCAGAGATGTGGTTCCCACTAAGCATCACCTTCCACAACAACCTCCTATTGATACTCAGACAAGTCAAAGATGTTTTAAATGGGTGAAATTTCATATCCTTCAGGAAGCTCAGTCTTGTAGGCCTTCTCCTCCATCTTTTGAAGTACTTAACATAATCCAATCTTCTTATTTTTAAGCTTATAGTACACCCAGTGTTTTAAAATGCGCTCAACACCTAAGGTACACCAAGTGTTTTAAAATGCGGAATGCAGTCCCGATGCGGTCGATGGACCAATATGGCGATGCAGCTCAATGTGGTCAAGATGTGGGAACATCACCCCGATGCGGTCAATAAATATAAAAAAATTCTAAAAAATCTCATAAAATAGGTTAATGCACAGAAAAGAATAGGTTAATGCCCCCTACATAAGTATTTCCACAGAGAGTACAAACAACAAAATTTTGGTCTTTCTAAGATTTGTATATTTCCATGCCAGATCCTTGTTACTAGAAGATTGTGAAAAGACATTGCCCCAAAAAAAGAAAAATTGTATTAGGAAATAAAAACTTATTGATTAATTGAAGAAAATATCAATAACTCAATATATTGTGAAATGTTCCCTCAAACTTCCTCAAATCAACACCCAAACTAATCCCAATCAACAAGCAAATATCCAACAAGACCAAATCAAAATATCTTCTCCAAAAAAAAATTTCTATTTTTTTTGTGATTGAATGGAGGCAAAAAAGCCACTTTCATGGCTGTTATTGATGTTTTCGCGGGGTCCAATACCCCCATAAAGACTTTTCCCCCCTCTTTTTGGGGAAAAATTACTTCAATACCCCTTTTCGTAGGGTTTACCTTCCCCATCACCGTGCGCCACATATGCGCTATGCGGCTGCATATGCGATGGGATGCCACGCATATGCAAGCGCATCACAACAAAGTGCATATGCATTGTTTTGCGATGCGCCTCTTGCACATATCGCATGATGCGGCCGCATATATGGGATGGGGCCGAATATATACGGGATGCGGCTGACAACGGATGTCTTGAATGTGTTTTAAAAGATGTTGGTGTGTGCACGTTGAATGACTCAATAGCCCAGAAGAAAACCAGTACAGAGGCACAAAATTAAAACGATAATATTTTTATTGCTCACAATAAAGCAAGTACAACGTGGGGACGTTCACTCCAGGATCCGGTATAGCTGACCCTCTTAGACATCCAATTTTATAAAATATCAGGGATGCCCCTGCTCTTTAGGATGTGCGACGGTATCAAACCCGGCGACGGAAACCGTCAAGCCGGCTGAAGAACAGTGTTTTAAAATGCGGGATGCGGCCAAAAGCGATAAGGGGGCCAATCTCGATGCGGCCCGAATGCAGGTGCATCGCGACGATGCGGTCAATAAATGTAAAACAAATTTAAAAAATCTAAAAAAAATAGGTTAATGCATAGAAAAAAATATGGAGGTGATATATGTGATAGTAGGTATTTTAGTTTAATGATTAACTTGAAAATTATTAGCTGTCGAAAATTCTATATCCAGTTATTCACTATCCCCTGATAGAAACTAGAAACTTGAAACTAGCTTCATAAAACATTCAACAATCAACAACCATAAGCACAAATTTACACCATAAGCGCAACCATAAGCACAAAAGCACAACCATCAACAACCATAGGCACAACAATAAGCACAACCATAAGCACAACATAGTGATACTACAAACCAAAAGTCAAGCTCAAGAAGAGTTAATAGTTAATAACTTAATACAATCATCCATATTGAGAGTCAATTTTGAAATTTGAAGTCAATTTTTCAATTATCAACCAGAGAAGTCATCTTGAGAGTCGTCATGTGCATCATCAATATCATCCTCGACGGCCTCCATGTATTCTTCTTCCTCGGTCTCCTCTAAGTCGGCTTCCTCCTCCTCGACATCTGAAGCTAATGTGCGAGTGCGACTAGACCCAGCAGCTCCTCTACTCCTTTGTGCTCTAGTGTTAGGTCAATCTTCTTCAATAGTCCCTGTTGCTAGCTCGACATCAAGCCACGTAAGATCCTCACCCTCAAATAAACGCTTTGGTCTTAGATCCATGGTCCACTCACTTGTGGAATCACCATCAGCTTCATGCAATTGAATAGGGTTGAGCTTCATGCAATTTCCAGCTTCAGTGAAGAACCTCGCTTCCTAGAGCAACCACAATCTACTCAAGACCTGCCTAACCCTCGCACACACTAAGGCTAGGGGCTAGAAATGAAAAGTTATGAAGTTTGGGGTGTTCGAAAGTTTTAGGTTCTTTTGAGAAGTGGGCTTTCCTGGATTTTGGACTTCCAAGGGGTTAGGCCTGGAAGTGATAAGTTCTAAGGGAGTTTTGCATTCTTTTAGGAATTGTTGAATATTTTGGGGATTTTGAAAAGATGTGAGGGGAAATTGGGTAGTATGGAAGAGGCTTAGAGGTAAAGTACTCTATTTCTTAGGTTGGCTCTTAATCTCAATTATCCAACCTTTAAACATGGGAACACATGGGTGGAATATCTAAAGTTGGTGGGTGGAAAATCAAAAGCATGGCTCAATGGGAGGTGGATTATTAAAAGTAAATTCGAGCTAGGGATGGAAATGGCCAAAAAGAACACCAGAGGAGGCTTCCTTCTTCATCCACCAGCAAAACCTATCAAATTGGACCGTAATTCCACCATTTTGGCTCAAATTTCTTTCATTAAATTGTTGCAAATCCCATCATGACCGTTTTGTGTCAAATTTATGCAAAACACGCTAAATTTAACAAGGTATCCACATTTTAATCTTGATTTTCCACTTTTAGCAATTTTTTTCATGCTTCTTCATGGCTCTTTAATGCACCCTTATTTAATGTCCACTCGACAATCAGCTACCAAATTCATCTGAAGGGCCATGAGATCATCGTTTGGCGCAATTTTCGGCTCAAGAGATCATCGTTCCGCCAAGTTATGGCCATTTCATTTCTTTCCAGTTTTGGAAACTATGATACCAAAATTTTCAAGCAACTTCTCTCTGGAATTTCTCCCTCAATTTGACTTTCATTGTGAAATTTCTATACAGTGATATGAGCGGTGCTGAGTCAGGAATATCCTTGCCAAATTTCAGTCCAAAATACTTCTCGAATCATGACACATTGGCCCAAAAATGATTGGAGGTCATAGGGGCTGCAACTTTTTTAATGACTTTGATTCCCCTTCTTTTTTCGAAGAAATGATCGGAGGTCATTGGGGCTGCAACCTTTTCAATTATTTTGATCCCCTTTCTTTTTCCTTCGAAATAGGCATGATTGAGTCAAGGAACCCCCTTGATGTATATACCGTTTGAAAGCCCATGTAACAAGGAGCGATATACTAAAATTTGAGCCCATTTGGTCTTGGCATCTATGAGATATTGCCTTGCCAATTTGCCTAAAAATTTCTTGTGGCTGCTGCAACTCCCATAGCCCGCTCGACCATATGGTATGCTAAGGTCTTTTCAGAAAAATATTGGTAGTCCATTTGTAGTCCAACCAAGAGAACATTAGAACAGGTACTTCCGGACATCAGATTGGACTCAAATTTGGAGGATATGGTTTTCTTATTTACACCTTCTTCTCATAAAATTTCTCGCCACTTTGGCAGCTGATTTCTCAAGGATGCTTTGTAAAAGTAAGCCAAATAGTGTACACCCTCACTGAGTCTTACACAGTTGAAATGGCCATATCTCATTCATTCGACTTTGGATCAAGCTCAAATTTGGATGTTAGCCCTTTCATAACATATCATTCCTTCTACAATAATAGGGCATTTGGATCTATATTCGGTGGGGCCCCTTTGCAAAATGTGTCCGTCCCCCTGAAAATTTTTCCTTTGTCAAATCCATT